AGTCATCACTATTTTGTCTTCTCAAAGCAAATTTCGGTAAATCGAATGATATTTCGATTTCACTGTATGTTCTTGATTAATATAATATGCACATTATCAGTGTAATATCTCCTACAACTGTAAGCATCACACCACCTATACATAATTGTTTTATCTCCTTCAACTTGTGAAGGATTGGTTTCTATCTAGAAGGTCAAGAAATGTCCTACTCCGACAAGGACTAGGCCTCTACTTATGGAAACATAAGACTAATTACACAAACTTACAGCTTCTGATATGACTTGAAAACATAGCAAGACACTTGGAAGGATTTCTAGATCATATTGCATAAACTATCTTAAATTTGGGATTTCTAAAATGACTTTCGAACTTGAAATTAAACTATATAATGATTTAACCAGGCCCCCGGAGGGGCTTGCAGTCCCTAAAAGATCCCAAATTAGAACTTGAGCCTTTGAAGGATCATTGCTTCATCTATTGTAGACTTTAGAAGTCTGCTGTCATAGTCCCCACGCCAAAAGCTCTCTGGGATTCCCACGGCATTAAACTATTCCTTTGTCCACTAGCATTTCAGAGTTACTTACATATACTTCCAGGGCGCACTATAAGGGGGATGACTCTCATTGCAACTAGCTTTATCTTAGCCAACCATTTCCCTCTTTTTCTCCTACACGGGGCAAGACTAGGCATGCTGGTTGGTTTTCCTGTTTCCCCTGTTAGTTAGGATTTGTCGATTTGTCTTTCCTCACAAAATATAATTATGTTTTGATAATACTAAGACTCGTGCTGCGTAGCATTAAAAATAGTTATAACTACAATATTTAGTACAGTACTCAACCAACAAGAAGGTCTCACATGTGCATAGTTACAACTATGAGTCAATTATGATATTTGGTACTGTCCTCGACTGTCAGTTTATGGAGAGCCAAATAAGATCCAAATAGCTTTGAACATTTTTTATTGTATTTGTTTAGATGACTCTTAGGCCATGGGATGCCAGGTAGTGATTTATATACCCACTTGTTTTGAACAAAACATTAGTTGAATCCTTAGTATATGCGCCGAATAAATGTGTATATATCTTGTCCATCCATCTAGATAAAAGAAATGTGCATTTCATGTCACTTTTTCACCTGCAACATACGTATCTAGAATGTTTTATTATTTGCTTGGAGCAGCACAAATGTTATAGAGCAAATTGGTGGTGGTTGGTGTATGCTCATAAAGTAAAGTGACAAGTTGATGCATCTCTGGAAGAAATTGCAAATTAGAGTCTATACGTGCATACATTGTGTTTCCTTTTACCAATTAAAATGATAATGACTTGGATGCTGTTTTGTTGTCCCGTTACCTGGAGAAACTTGTTCCCTCCTTTGATACATTTTCACTCCTTAATAGACCAAATACTTGACACTTTCCGTAACAGACTGGGTAAACAGGTTAGCCCATGCTGGTGATACTGCTGCTGAAATAGCAGGAAACACAGCTTATCGAGTACGATTCTCTATCCTTCCATTAATTTACGACACCCTTGCATCGTTTCAACTGTCATGTACAAGATCACCCTACTGCCAACATAATTGACTCCAAAGTCCTGGACTGGAATGGACCTAAATGAAACGAAATAACGACCGACCAAAACCAATACCAGTTTATCTTTGTTGATATAACCAGAGGTGTGTCTACCCGTGGAAAATCTTTTCCTGCAGCCTTAGAATTTAGAAATGAGGGAGCATGAGAAGACGACCACCAATCTCCCCCAGTTTTATATGCATTTTTCATCTGATTGATTTTGGGTGTTGCTGCAGTTGAGACAAGCCAGAACCGAAATAATAGCGGCTAGCAAAGTTGCATACCGATTTCTTGCTGGAGTTGCTTCCAACAACTCAATTGCAACTCCGGGGTCACCAGTTAACTCCCCTAGAGGAAGTCTCAGATTCCAAGCTACTTGGTTCAAGAACCTTACTTCGTCTGGTTCTAAACCATCTACTACTTCGGAACTGGAAAGTTGGGATGAAGAGGTGATGACTGATGAGGGAGCGTAAGCAACAAGGATCAGAAACTCCAATAAAGCAGAGTTCATGATATGCAATCTCATTCCATATCATCACCACCACCACCGTGCTGGCAAGGCACGCGAAACCCTTGGCAAGTTATTTTGTGGTGATCCTTGTGGATTGGTGTAAAATGGAAGTTTCCTCTATCTGAATTTGTACACTAATGTTCAGGTGAAAAAGTTGACATTTTGAAAATAGATATCAATCTAATAGTATTTCTTCCATCATTTACACGGCATCGTTAATATCATCAGGGTTATTGGTTCATTTTCAATGGAATCACTCCGTTTTACTCTCTGCTTATTATTCTGTGTGGAGAAAAGTACTAATTGCTTTGCAACCAGCTTTGCTATAAATATAGCAATTCATGAGGGACTCAAGAAACCCAGAGACTGTGTACAATAAAAGAACCAGAAAGTTGGCTTAGACATTTGCACTGCATCAAGCCTAACCATACTGTAGTCTTACTTTACGACTGCAGATCGTCCTACTATTGTATTCCATCACCCTCATATTCTTACTACATAAAGAATTTCAATGGGACTGTTTTGGGCGTGCAAGATGCATTATAAAAACTTTATAGTGAAAACTCTTGCAGCAACAAGTGGACGTAACTATACATTAAAGTGGACCATTATAAAACTGTAATTCTTAATTTCTATTTTCTTATTTGCTCCCGTGAGAAGAGGTTAGGACTTAATTCCCAACATCAGAACAACCAAACTTCACGTCCACTCCACCTACCATGCTCGACCTACCGTAAGTTGCCCCTTCATGTAATAAGAGCTAAACTTCTAAATATAGCAATACATTATAGTTGTTACCAGAAGAGCGAAGCTGATAGTGAGGATGCAAGCAGAAACAACTGCTAAGAAATTGAAAGATCAAACTGTGAACAAATGTCTCGTGAGAATACAAGCATGGCATCCAATAATGTGAGCTCACTTAAGTATATACAGGGGAAAAAACATAGCACGACAACTTGATCAGACAACAGACATAAACCTTTTATTTTTTTAACCGTTTAACATACGGTTGAACACATACGTGTCTATTTGTGAATCATCAGCAATTTGAAGTGATGAAACAGCCTGTGCTGCAAGGACACCAGGAGATAACCCTGCAGCATCCCAACCTTCCTCTTCAAAATATCGCCCTTTGAAATCTCTTTCCCAAGGATTAGAAGGGACGATCCAGTCAGAATTCCCCTGGTGACTCCACATGTACCCATATCTCTGAGCATCAGAAAACCAACCTACCCCTTCTAGCGAATATTTTGACAATTCATGATCGGGAGCTACTCCCCGCCTTCCCCCCATAATGAGATCAAAGTTGCTGCCATGATCCCATGAGGTAAACCCCTCGTCCTTCTTCAGCATAACATGATGTGAATCCTCTGAGTCTTCACCAAGCAGGACATGCAGTGCAACTGCCTCAGCCACTGCAGCACCTTCTTCATCTAGTCTCTGCTGTTCTTCTTTATTTTTCTGCTTCTTTTTCTCAAGTTCAGAACGAATTGCTGCAGAAGTGGCCAGGGCCTTCTCCAAGCGCCTCTTTTTTTTCTCGGCTAGTTTAATACGATCTAGCTCGTCCTTCACCTGCTTCTTTTTAACTTTTCTAATACCAGTATGTACTTTTGCACACTCCATTGTATCTCGTATTTAACTTCTTTTCTTGATTTTCTTTCTACTTTTTTTCAAACAAAATTTCCCTAAGACGTATACATTATCAACCTGCCTATTGTTTCTTTCATTTCTCTTTTTTTTTTTTTTGCAAAAGTAGTTATTTAATTTCTATTAGTATACTAAATTCCCAACTTGGAAGCTAATATAATTTTTATAGTTATGATGCCTGTATCTACACGCACTCAGGCCTGAAGGAATACCTCAATTTACGCTCAATACATTCCCAAAAAGAAATGATAGGAGAGAGGAGAAGAGAAAAGTGGTAAGCACTCCGTGATCTGTTCCTTGCCATTCTTCCCAATTTCCCATCACCCTCACTACCCATATTAAAGACACTAATAAAAAGAATAAAGTAACTAAAATTAACAAAAGCAACTAGTCTGTCCTTTATGGTTCAAACGACTCCCATGGCCTTCCTCCTGCAATCAAGATGAAAAAACTTAACTCATGTTTGGCACGGATGATTGGATAGTACTAAATACTAAATATTACTAAAAAGGAAAAAGAAAAAAGAAAAATAAAAAAGTTGCAATATGATCATAATACGCTGCAATCTTATCTACTGTGTACCAGTATGCAGATTCTAAGAACAAAAACGGTGCGTAGCATTTTTCCAGAAAAAAAAAAACACTAAACCATAGATAGGAGTATGGCATTAGAAACACCATAATAACACAATTATAAATATAAAAATATAGTATTGCCACAACATTTATCGCTGACACAATTACAACACCAGAAATCACAAAAATCAACTAGGAGATATTACCAAAATCTATATAAAGATCTAATAAAACAGCAAGTAAATCACTACAAATGAAAAAAAACTTTAACCACCCAGCAGTAACCAAAATTACCATCTCTCCATTAATTTCATAGAGTTTCAAGATTAAAAATGTATTAAAACGAAAAGGATTCCTAATCCTACACCTGTGCAACAACTCAAATTTTACGATTTTATTTATTTATTTTAAAATAAGCCTCAATTTTGATTAGAAGCCCATACTAATTGAGTTCATAGGGCATTGATTCGGTAATAATGTATAATAGCTGATAATTTTACTTAAACTCAGTATATTATCAACATACGCTTACAAGCATGTAAAACACATCCCCCAAATTCAGATTCAAAAAATTAACAGTTATCATAACCAGAAAATCAAGGCCACGAAACTATGCTTATATCCAATCACCCTACCATAGATTTAAACTAAAACCAAACCAAATCAAATTCATATTTCATGTCCCAACAAATCCATAACTGGGATCACACAAATCCAATTGATCCAGATGCCAAAATCTCCAATCCAAACAGAACTCATCAATACATATTATTTACCAACAGATCAAAATACTCAAAACCCATATCACAAAAATATCAGCCAAAAAGAATAAAAATCGTACAAAAGAAAACGTGAAAATTAAACAAACCTGTTAGATTCAAGAAGAGAGAAGGGCCGCCTTCAAATTTTGTAATAAGAAACAAGTAGAAAATAGATGAATAAGAAACAATCCAAGAAAATTAAAAAAGAGTTATATCGTTTTGATGTACAGAGAGCCGAGAGCGTTGGGGTGTGTAGAAATTCACTCAGTTTGTGTTTGTTTACGCTTCTCCATCTGTGTGTAGTATGCGTGTGAGAAAGTAGAGGAATGAGAGAATATTTCAACAGAAGTCATCAAACTTACAGAATTTTCATATTAGTCATTTAACATTAATTTATTCTAATCTGATCACTTAATTTATATTTTTAATTGAATTTAACTATTCCGTCTGTAACCTTACCCAAATTAAGCTAAGCCCCCGTTTGGGCCACCTTCTTTTCTCATTAAAATGAAAAATATGACAGTTATCCATCACATCAACATTTAAATTCAAATTTTCTATCTCTTATATGAACCTCAATAACAACTATATTTTTCATTCTCATTCTACAAAAAGGTGGCTCAAACAAAACCTAAAAATTTGATTTTTAGCAAAATCAAACAGGATCTAAAAAAAATTGAAACCTGTTGACACATTATGATGCAACTTATATTTTTAATAATCTAGCTAGAAGGATCATCGTGTCATAACTTGCTTTTTTGTTTGGAAGAGGTGCATCTTCAATGGTGACGTGCAACACACTCGCTTCGAATTTCATCTTCAATTCATGAATTCAATGAACTTTTGTGATTGCTATAGACGGAATGGTTAACTTAAAAAAAAAAAAGTTTAATGTTAGTGATTACATTGACATAGGAATATAAACTGAGCGATCAAATTGAAGGAAAATGAAGTTGCATGACCAACATGAGAAGGATCTAAAGTTTGATGACCTTAAATGAGATTTCCCTGAGAATAAAGGGCAAAGTTGGAATCCAAGACACGTGGATATTAAAGGACTGGATCTGGTGTGGGGTCCACGCGCCACCGTTGTCCTTCACCGGTGTACTGATGCCATTTGGGGGAATTTAAGATAGAATAGATTGATTTTGATTGAAGGTTTTGTGGGCCTACGTGAAAGTTATACTAGCCGTCGATTTGTTTGATTGCTAATTTGACGGTATAGATACGGGACAGTATATTAGCATGGATGGTCGGCAGCGAGTCAGCGACAGCGAGAACAATTATATCAACAATATGACGTCATGATCTCGTCATGGACTAAGGGGCATAGTTTACTGTTGAGGAGTTAGGGATGCAGAAGAATGTTTTGAGTTGTAATTGAGAGGCCTATGTAGAAATTTTTGAAAAATATAGCAAATTTTGTGCATCTTTGGAATGCTTATTATAATTTGAATAATGCTATTTGTACACAAACTTTCACACAATCTTTTACATCCCCCTCACACGGANCTGTTAGACCCGCTAGACTCAGGCATACAATGCTTACGATTCACTTAAATTTATGGATTATTCTATGTGGATACCTTGAGTAGTACACAATCTTTTACATCCCCCTCACACGGAGGGGGGTCCACACATAATAAAATAATCGTAGGCCCCCCTCCGTGTGAGGTAGATGTAAAAGATTGTGTGAAAGTTTGTGAGTACATATAGCATTACTTTTATAATTTTTCGACTCCCATATAATGTGTGAATTTAAAGTTGGTGATGAGTTGAGGGTAGATAAGTTGTGGATAAAAGTTTGCTGGATCAACTTAAATTATAATTCCTTTGTTGCATAATGATAAACTTACTTTTCTTTTTTTTTTTTTGTCTGTCCCAAATTATAGATCATTTTCCCTGTCAAAAGTATAAATGATTTCTTAGATTCCTAATATGTTCTCATTTAATGTGTTTGATAATCAATAATATGAACTATTATTATTATTTAAAACATTATTTAGTGTAGGAGTATATTAGAAAAAATGTAAAGAAAAAATTATGTTTCCAACTATATTAATTAAAATTTCTTAATCTACGTGAAAAGGAAAGTATTATGCTAAGTGTGCATTTCATGGATTACATATTGGTGTATATAGTGTGAGAATTAAAAAAAATGTTGGGTGAAAAAAGTGTATTTTTTTAAAAAAAGATGTCTAATCATGTGTCGTCATATATACATGTAGTATGATTGAAATTAAAATATGCATATCATTATGGGATGGATGGAATAATTTAAAGATCGTCAAACATGAAGACTCAATTTGATGAAAAAGATTTATGTTGTCCACTTGTAAAAATTGGAGTAAAAAGTATTCTTTCTGATTTTACACAATCTTGAGTTTGAAGAACAATCGTGCTACATGTACAACCTTTGTTGACAATAATTGTTCACACTGCACACTGACACCATCACATCCATTCATTTTAAAAATTGTTAAAAACTATTTTTTATATCAATCGTCTGAATTTTAATAACGCATGGTTGTCAACCATATTTGTACAACTAGCTTTATTATTAAAAAAAATGGCAACAAGATCTTTTTAGCTACTAAAATGTCACGTCAAATTCTACACTTTCGACAAAGTGAGTCTTGGTAAATGACTTGTAAGTTAAACTTATTCTAATGGTCACGTAACAAATCCCATAAATCAGGCCATGTTTTTCGTCAATTTTGATGACAATTGTAAACAAAATTGCAATTAGGTGATCAAATTGAACGAAAAAATAAGTTGTGTCATAAAATTGAACTTGGGTGACCACCTTAAAAAGACATGTAAAATGAGTGGCAAATTGTGACTCAAAATTAATGAAAAGCCTACTACTTCCTATTATCCCTGTCCACTTGTAGAAATTTGAATATAAAATGGTCCCATGTGGGGGCTCATTATGAAATTTATTAGCAAAAACAAAGGACAAACAAGTGGTGTCAAAATGAGATAATGTAGCAAATTATTTTTCTATCCAAAACACTATAACCATTGAAGGCTCTGTATTTGGTGCCAAAAATTGCATCAATTTGACAAAGCGATGAATGCATCTTGTGAGTTCTTTTGTTTGACATGTGACCACTGCCAAAGTATGACATTGTGAGTGATAATGCATGATTTGTGGATGTTTAATTGTTGCATGTTAGCATGTATTCGATTCAGATTTTGGTTGTGTGTGAAGATTTAATGGAGTTACATATATGCGTAATGTAACTCCTATTAATGTACGAGTAAAATGATTGATTATTATCGCATGTAATGACATTGAACGTGATGTTTAACAATTAAATAATCGTAATTCCCATCAATTATAAATCATAGAATATTTAGACACTCATCGAACTTGTCGATATTGTGAACTTGAAATCATGTATTTTGTGGCATATGACTGTCCTACATAATTTGTGAATACTAATTATACTATGACAATATTTTTTTCTATAAATATTGTAAGTATATGCTATTAGTAATGATATTTTTTCTGTAAATATTGTAAGTATATAGGCATAACAAACTGTAAAATCTCATAAGAGATTCAGGTATTTGAAATATTGAAAATTGAGACATCTTAATAAGTTATTCATTATCGAAAAGAATTGGAATTAAA